ATGAATCGAAACATGTCGGAAAAGCTCCTAGAGAGACTAACGGATTTACATCAGAAAATAAATCCTAGAGAATGGCATCCAATTCGACTAGAAGGAATAGCGATGCAAATTGATCCAAATCATGCTGAAGTAATTTTCGACTACAATCCGTTTAAAGATGCCATGGAACTCTTAGAAATAGCTTTAAAAGGAAAGCTGATGTAAAAGCATAATTCTGAAGTCAAAATCACTTTATTGAGACAATGGATAGAAACCATGATCTTTGTTCAAATAACTACAGACTCAAAAAATTCCATGTCCATGTCCATGTGTATGTCGTAGAACTGGCCCTTAGACATAAACAGGTAACTAGAGAAGTTTGAGAACTTCTTGGCATTGTAGAAGTTGGTCCATTAGCAAGCCGACAACATTACGTAAGCAATAAGGATGTAACCCATGATGACGTTTGCGATGATGAAGAATAGAGGACAAGAGGATTTCCGTCCAGATCCCAGCCGAGGCCAAGCTTCTGGAAGCCCAACCTGAGACACTGTGCCAGGACCGAGTTGGAGAAGGCCCAGCAAACCCAGGGATGGAGGAGAGAATGCTGAGGAAGTAGCACGGGAGTGCGTAGTACGCAAAGACAAAGGAGAGGAAGAACTAGATCCTTGACAGGTCCTTAACACTTAGCTTGTCATGCAAAGTCCTGTCGAACACGCAAGATAGTATTCACGCGAGATAGTAGCTCCACCAGATTCTTTCGCAAAAGACCAGCCCATCCAAGTTGACTTCGATCAAAACACTTCAAAGGAAAGCAAGCAAGAAAAGCTTGTTTTCTTACCTGAGTGGTGATCACCAGCAAGAGCCCATGTAGAAATGGAACTTCATCCTGTAGAAAGTTATGGTAAGTCGATGATGAAGACCGCGTAAACACCACCATTCCCAGCTGCGTAGCCAACATTGGTGAAGATGGTGATGAAGACGCTCCTTCTTGATGAAGAGTCCTGGATTGAGTGAAAAACCCTGAGCCCGTGTAGTAGACCCTGGTGGGCAATAGTGCAGCCATGAAGCGGCCAATTGGCAACGCTGCAATCTGGGCCGATGTATACAATGCTCACCCATAAAATACAAAATTCAGCCAAAGTATACATTTAGTTCGGGCCAAAGTATTGACCATATACCTCATTAAAGTGTATCTCAGCCGTAAAATACAATATCCTTCCTTTCATCCGAGTGATCCACCTAGACAACAACTGCCGAACTCATTTGTTGATCGTCTAATGAATTGCCATCTCTAGATACCTTTCACATTTGTCCAAATATTTTTAATTTTAAAAGAGGGATTTATTTTTAGGTCAGGTAACCATAAAGAGATGGAAAGAGACACTCTTGGTTTGTACACACATTTCCAAAGTTATTTTTAAAGTGCTTGGACCTTCAAAGGCACCAAGAAGAGCAATCGAAAGAGGCTTAAAGACACATTGACCACAATTCCTCCGATAAATGATGTTGACGAAGGTATTTTCTTTATTAGTTTGTCTGAATTTCCAGGGATTGCATTGAAGAATGCACAGCTGAGGTTCAAAGAAGAAAACACAAAGCACCTATTAGAGTTGCTCTACCAAATGAACCATGTGAGATGGAAATTGAGAATATGCAAGGAAAAGGTAGAACAATATTACACTTGTTCTTCATTTTTCATTTTTTTGTTTTCCTAAAAGTTTTTAAATTCCTACAGACCAATCTGAATCAAAAAAGGCAGATACTACCATCATCAATGAAGGTTACAAAGCAAAAAAAATTGACTTTACTATTTTTTCTAAACACTTGCAATCTTTCTTTTTTCAATGTTACAGAACCATGTCAGGAAGACACCAGCATTGTTAATGAAGGTACAAATTGCAAAAAAAAAGTTATTTTAAAGTCCATCCAAACATTTTTCTTACTTTCTATGTTTTTTTAATGACAATTAGATTGTCTGAAATCAAGAGCATTAGCTACTGATGGAGGTATGCTATGTTTTAGCTAAGAATAATTAAATGTAAAATATGT